GGGGGGTTGGGAGTTCTGAGGGGGGCAATCAGGGGGTGGGAAGTGGGAGGGAGTGGGCAGGGCTAGAGTGGGGCTCCTCCACCCCCCCCCCCGTGTCCTCTTTTTTGCTTGTGGAAATATGGTAACCCTAGGGACATTAATCATGTTTTGACCTAGCTGCAGAATAGCTCTAGGCTTTGGAGAGGAGCAGCACACACTGGAAGCTGATCAGTACTCCCCTAGTCTTGGGGGCAAAACTCTTTAGGCCAAGGATGGGCACCTTGAAGGTAGCAAAGGGACTCAAAATCCACGAGAACCCTTTGGTGGGCCATACCTTAAGAGGCTATATATTGCCTCACTCTGAAAGGTTTGCTACAACACAGAATGTTTGGCAGGCCAAAGCAAACGATCTGGCAGGGTGGTTACAGCCCCCCATTTGCCAATCCCTGTTTTAAGCCTTTTCTAAAGCTAAACAATTCTGCACACATTTTTCAGCAATGGTGCAGCTGCTCCAACATACGCATTGGGAGAGGATTCAGGTGTGTTTCTATTGTCATGTCACAAAAAACTGCTCAGGGTTTTTTCACTACTATCATGCTCTAAGCCCCATCTACATTAACATGCACATCATTGCTAGCTTCAGTACAACTCTACTTTTGCCAGAGAACAGGTACGTTTTCCAGTGTAGTGATAGCCACATAGACATCAGTGGGGAGAGAAATTGGAACACGACCCGCATAACCAAGTGATTTAGGTGCTGGGGTGATGGCTCTGATGAGGAGTTCACTGCCCAGGTCTGACAGCATGGGCAGTGGTAGGAAAGCTTCCCCATAGTCCCCTCCCCAACTTGCCCCACTCTGAACTGGAGGAACCCACCTTCAATTGGGAAAGTTATTCAGCCTCCCTGGCCCAGTCATGGCTTTTCTGCTAAAATAGTCAAGTAGGATGTAACAGAAGTGAGGATTGTTATGATCTAGACACTTGTCCATTAAGAACTGGACTGAGACCAATTTATTTCACACATGCCACTAGACAGGCTATACAGATTTTTGGTCACTATCAGGTCAGATCTGCATTGGAGACCCACCTCTCTCATGGCCACTAGCTTTCCGCTCTAAGCGGTCCAGATTACCAACTAGATCTCATTTCAACACACACAGTTTATGGCACAATGTACAGTTCCCATTTTAATGCTAAAATCTCTGGCAGATAACACATGTAATGCAAGCCAGTTGCCTCTCAGATGCTTAGGAGAATTTGCATGGACACAGAATGAATGAAACTCAAGTCTCCAAGGGCTCCTGCTGTATCTGTATCACATAGCACTACAGGTAAAGGGTTGCTTATGGAATAATAGAGTATTAAAACTATCTTTAACAGCAAAAATTAAGTTAGAACGCTGTTAGCGCAAGTATCAGAGGGGTAGCCGTGTTAGTCTGAATCTGTAAAAAGCAACAGAGGGTCCTGTGGCACCTTTGAGACTAACAGAAGTACTGGGAGCATAAGCTTTCGTGGGTAAGAACCTCACTTCTTCAGATGCAAGAGATGTTAGCGCAAGAGCTCCAGAAGTGATTTTACAGAGCCAAAGGAATCTAATATTTTCTCACCAATGTCTTGCTCAATGCAGCTTTTGTCATCACAGCTTGATATATGATGGCTGATCTCAGCTCTGGGAACCTGATGGCGGGCATTAAAGGGGCATGTGGCTAGCTGCTTTGCAATATCAGGGTGGTTCTAGAGAAACAGAAAAAGTATGTGCTATCTCACTGAATTCATCCTAACCCTTGTGTTTTCTAGTCACTAGTGAAGGGTTTGTGCAATCTGCATCCTGAAATAGGTTGAAAAAATTTAAACAAGGAAAGCCAAAACTCAGCTCAGGTCCGGAGCACAAATGCAGTGTAGAAACAGCAAAGCATATGCATCCTTTATGATACAGGCTATGTTTGTTCATTTTTACATTTAAACAACACCCTGAATTTATCTGATTGAAGATCAGCCCCAGAACAAACACAGTGAAACTGTTGCAGTGTCATCACTGGCATGGATCGATGCACAGATGAAATTGCCCTCAAAAGCCTACATGGGGAGTAAGTGCCTTGAAACCTTAAATAATTCAGCCACTTTATTTTTAAATTAAGTGAGCGACAGACTAGAGAACAAGTTCCTGCCTGCGCTAGAGCTTAAGTCTTTGCAGTTAATTTAACCCGCCTGAAACAGGAGGGAAGTTACTCTTTGTTCCAGCTGAGGTCACATCTATATTGGGAGCACTTTGCCAGTAGAGGTAAACTAGTGTGGACATAGAAGAGCACTACTATCCCCCACTGAAAGAAGAATCTTTACCCTTAGAAAAGATCAAGAAGACAGAGAGGAAGAACACACACTGCTCAGGCCTGCTCTGCGTGGCTTTTATATTACTATAGCTATGTTGGCTAGGGGTGTGATTCCTAACCAATACAGTTATACCGGTACATCATCTTAACATGTGGATGCAGTTATACCAGCACAACTAAGATACACTAGCACTGGAGAGGTTAAAACATGATCCTGACTGAGAGGACAAAAGAAAGGAGCAGCTTCTCCTGTTAAACATATAGCATTCTAGCCCAGGATAGAAGACTGAGAAGAGAGAAAGTTTCAGACAGATGAACACTGAATAGACTTATTAGCAATATAAAAAAAGATGGCTTAGCAGCTGCATTGCTCTTGATTGCAAAGTCAAGAATTAGCTGCAACATCAGCTCATTTCTGCTTTGGCCAGCCAGAAGGCATCCATACAACGCTGGCCACATTTGCTCCATGGCCTGAAGTGGGAAGTAAATACCCTGTCCCATGAGTGAACAGTTGGAAGAGAATAGGATCCTGTCACTGACCTAGGTATTCTGAGGAACCTGTATTACCTTTCTTCGGGGTAAACGCACTGATCTGAAGTGCATTACTAAATATGAACTGGATGCTTTTTGAAAATGTTCCCTCCTAGTCCACACTACGACTCAGAGAGCACGAGTCACCTTAATCACTTAAAACTTACATAGAGGGGACAAGGTAGGTGAGGACCAACTTCCGATAGCGAGAGAGACAAGCTTTCAAGCATACACAGACCTCTTCTTCAGGATTCAGTCTGTGTTCGTGCAGCAGCTTTCTTGCCATCACAAATGTGTCTCCCCTCACACCTTCCAAGCTATTTACCCACATTTGTATCAGTGTACAGAGGGCATGCACACAAAGGAACAAGGGACAGCAGACTGTGGGGTATTTTCTAGAGAGCTGGAAGTAAGGGGGACGGGCCAGACTGATTACATAAATCAGTGATTTTCAACCTTTTTGATACCAGGGACCAGCTTGCAGCCTTTCTAAACAGGGAGATCAGAGGGACAGGCCATTGAGAAAGACTTACACAGGTAATTGGGACAAATGGCTACTTGTGACAAAGTGGGAATTGTCAACCTTTGTATGAATACTGTGTGCGCCTCATTTTCCCTATGTGTTGCACAAGTATCTAGGTGGTGGGATAAGGGTGTGAGAGCTTTGCAGATACCCCAAGAGGGGAGGTACAAGTGCCATCTAGCTACCTGGGCCCAGACAATGGTTGGACATTCTGTATCCTGGAAACTGATGGCTAGTGCCCATCCTCTGCAAGAGCCAGTCGGAGGAATTAGAGAACAAAGAGGTAGAGGCCAGGTGACCGGTTTGCCTGGGCAACAGCATACAGGATGGAGGAGGGGCAACTGGGTGTGACAGAGTGAGCTGCTGGAAGCTGGTCAGTCTCCTGGTTTGGGACTCAGGGGGAGAGCCCAGGGCTCTGAGTCTCCTCAAGATGGACTTTGCTTTAACTTCCTGCTTTCTGTGCTAACAAGATTCTGCTCGATGCTGTGTTTCAGATGACTAATAAACCCTTCTGTTTGACACCGCTGGCTGAGAGAGTCACTCCTGACTGGCGAAATCGGGGGTGCATGGCCCCTTTGGGGGGCGTGTAAGGTTTCCCCAGGTGTTCTAGTCAGGTGGACTTGCTGCAGGGAGCTTACGACGTGAAACAGGGATGCTGAATGCTCAGAGATCAGACCCAGGAGGAGCTGAAGCCCAGGAGGCTCGTCCTAGTGAGTGTGCGCCCTGAGGGGTAGTCACAGCACAAGAGGGTCTTGTCCGAAGGCTAGTATACATTACTGCACAGCTGTAGTGAGTCTGGTGAAAACGCACTATGCTGACCGGAGAGCGCTCTCCCGTCAGCATAATTACTCCACCGCAGCAAGAGGTGGAAGCTATGACAGCAGGAGAGTGTCCCCCGCTGATTTAGCACTGGTGTGGACAGCTCAGGTGGTGCGTTGCTCAGGGGGGTGGCTTTTTCACATCCGTGACCGACAAATGACATTAACTTAAGTGGTAGTGTAGACAAGCCCTGAACTTCATTTAGTGGTTCCAGAGCACCAAGCCTGTGCACCCATGAATTACTGTGGCGGGGGGTGGGGGTGGGGGGGAGTCCCCAATGCATCAGACCAGCACCATATTCCAGGCTAGGCCTCTGAAGAGGGCAGCTCCCTTACCTGACCATGGTACTAACTAGGGCTGTATATTAATCACAGTTAACTCATGTGATTAACTAAAAAAAAAAAAACCCCACACAATTAAAAATTAATCACGATTAATCGCAGTTTTAATCGCACTGTTACACAATAGTATACCAATTGAAGTGTAATAAATGTTTTTGGATGTTTTCTACATTTTCAAATATATTGATTTCAATTACAACAGAATACAAAAGGTACAGTGCTCACTATTTTTTTTATTACAAATATTTGCACCGTAAAAATGATAAATAGTATTTTTCAATTCACCTCATACAAATAGTGTAGTGCAATCTCTTTATTGTGAAAGTGCAACTTACAAATTTAGATTTGTGTTACATAACTGCACTCAAAAACAAAACAATGTAAAACTTTAGAGCCCACAAGTCCCCTCAGTCCTACTTCTTGTTCAACCAATCGCTAAGAGAAACAAGTTTGTTTACATTTATGGGAGATACTGCTGCCCGCTTCTTATTTACAATGTCACCTGAAAGTCAGAACAGGAGTTCGTATGGCATATTTGTAGCCAGCATCGCAAGGTATTTACATGCCAGATATTCTAAACATTCATATGCCCCTTCACACTTCAGCCACCATTCCAGAGGTCATGCTTCCATGCTGATGACACGTTAAAAAAATAATGTATTAAATAATTTGAGACTGAACTCCTTGGGGGAGAATTGTATATCTCCTTCTCTGTTTTACTCACATTTTGTCAGATATTTCATGTTATAGCAGTCTAGGATGATGACCCAACACACGTTCATTTTAAGAACACTTTTTAATTACAGATTTGACAAAATGCAAAGAAGGTACAAATGTGAGATTTCTAAAGATAGCTACAGCACTCGACCCAAGGTTTAAGAAGCTTAAGTGCTTTCCAAAATCTGAGAGGGATGAGGTGTGGAGCATGCTTTCAGAAGTCTTAAAAGAACAATACTCCAATGTGTAAACTACAGAACCCGAACCACCAAAAAAGAAAATCAACCTTCTGCTGGTGGCATCTGACTTAGATTATGAAAGTGAACATGCGTTGGGCCACACTGCTTTGGATCGTTATTGAGCCAACTTGTCATCGGCATGGACACGTCCTCTGGAATGGTGGTTGAAGCATGAAGGGACATATGAATCTTTAGCGCATCTGGCACGTAAATATCTTGCGACGTCGGCTACAATAGTGCCATGTGAACGCCTGTTCTCACTTTCAGGTGACATTGTAAACAAGAAGTGGGCAGCATTATCTCCTGCAAATGTAAACAAACTTGTTTATCTTAGCAATTGTCTGAACAAGAAGTAAGACTGACTGTACTTGTAGGCTCTAAAGTTTTACATTGTTTTGTTTTAGAATGCAATTTTTTGTACATAATTCTACATCTGTAAGTTCAACTTTCATAATAAAGAGATTGCACTATATTATTTGTATTACATGAATTGAAAAATACTATTTCTTTTGGGTTTTTTACAGTGTAAACATTTGTAATAAAAAATAAATATAAGTGAGCACTGTACACTTTGTATTCTGTGTTGTAATTGAAATAAATATATTTGAAAATGTAGAAAACATCCACAAATATTTAAATAAATGGTATTCTATTATTGTTTAATTGTGCGATTAAACTGTTTAATCGTTTGACAGCCTAGTACTAACAGGATATTAACCATGTTGCGTCTGTAGCCAAACACATTTTGGAGCCAGCCACTGGTAATAAAGTCAATTATGAATTGTGGCATGGAGAGGGCCTTAATAAGAACAGTCACTTTACTGGGATGATCCCCAGGAATCTGATTTAGGCCCTGTCTGCACCAGACGTGACTGTAGTTTTGTAACCAGTTTGTACCATACACAGCAAATCTGATCTGTTAGTTGGATCGTCCATTTCTCCAGACCGCAGTCATGGTGCAGCTGGGGAACGTAGTCCACTAGGTCAATGTGGAAACGCACAAACCATGACGCACACGGTGGAGGACTGCAAAATGACAACTTCCTGGAGGCCTTCATGCCTTGAACATTACTGATAAGAACACTGTGGCTTGGCCAGATTGCATATGCTAAATAAATAAAATGAACCACACACAGCTGAGTTACGCCCCCACTCCAGCCTTCCTGGCTCACAAAGGTTGGGGCATGGTGTTGTGTGTCTGCACCCAATATGCTGCCTAGAAGCATTTGTCTCAGTACACCCAGTCACCCACCCAGCAAGTACATTTTACCCAAGCAGTCTCACACCCATCTTGCAAACCTAGGTATGGTTTCTTGCTGTGATATTGATCCACATCATCCTCTATTGTCTCTAAAATTTGTGTGGTTTTGAACTGCAAGAAGACCACTGCACCTGATTTTGAGTCCCAGAATGAAAGAATTTGTGAACCGCTGCTCTAATACACAGACGCATATACCCACCAAACTTAATGCCTAGAGTGGAAAGTTACTTCCCTACAAGCCACTCCCTTCTTTAACCAAGTTTAAGATACTTTAATACTTTCAAAGATCTAAGCGGTCTGTCACTGTATCTTTGCAGGAACCATGAACAGAATCATAGAATTGTAGGACTGGAAGGGACCTCCAGAGGTCATCTAGTCCAGGCCCCTGCATGAATGTTACAAGCCAGCAAAGAAACACTTACCATAGTTGTCTTCTAAATCCGTTTTACTGACGCTGAAAGAACACTGACTGAAGTTTCGCTGGAGGACCCTTTGAGCCAGTCTCTGAGTGTTACTCCCCTCCTCAACATATCTACCCTATAGACCAAAAATGAAGAGATTGACAGATTTCTAAGGCCAGAAGAGACAGTTATGATAATCTAGGAGTAGTTTTCAACCTGTGATCCGCAGACCCCTAGGGGTCCACAGACTATGTCTAGGATTTCCAAAGGGGTCCTGCACCTCCATCTGAAATTTTTTAAGAGTCTGCAAACGAAAAACAATGAAAACTACTGATCTAGGCTGACCTTCTGTATAACACAAGGCATAGTACTGCCCTGAATTAATTCCCGTTTGACCTAGAGCAGATTTTTTAGAAAGACATCCAACCTTGATTTCAAAAATTTGATGGAGAATCTACCACAACGGTTGGTAATTTTTCCGATGGTTAATGACCCTCACTGTTAAAAATAAACCTTATTTCCATTCTGAATTTTTCTAGCTTCAATTTCCAGGCACTGGAAATAACTTAAAAGTTATTTCAATTTATCCATCACAGCTACTAAGAGTCAAAGATCAACTGCAGGACAGTAGCCAGTAGACTTTACATCTATGCTATGTATGCATACGATACAAGCTTACTCTTGGTGGCCCACGTATAACATAGGGTACCGGAAACCTCATATTTTTCTGCTCCATAGAGAAAGGTTTCCTCCAAGATGCTAAAATTCAAAGATTTTTGTCTGAAACATCCTCTTTGCCCAATACATTTAAGAGGGTTAAAAGAACCAGATCACAAGAAAAATTAAGCCATGTATTTTGGGAGCTCAGCTATCTTTTCTTATACACACTTCAGTGCTCCATCCTTGAGCCCCTCCACCTGCCTGACAGGTCAACACTTTTACACCTACTTTGTGGCTCATGATCTGTATGAAGAACTTTGTTGCTAATGCTTTGGTTAAAAAAAAAAAAGCCAAAATGAGATGCCTAATAAAATTGGCACACATGGGCCAAGCGTGTCAGCTGCGTATCCCTCTCTCAAGGGTGAACTGCAGATCTGAACAGCACCAATAATTTTGACAAATTGGCACTTTGACAAACTGGCACGGTCTGACCTAGGACACCCCAGCGAGGGCACTGGTATGTCCTTCCCCATCTGCCCCCAGCGCACTATGGGGGGCATGTGGCAGCCAAAGGACACTGAAGGGGGCACAGACCATAACCTGGGGTCTGGGGCAGGGCAGTGTGAGGCTGAGTCGTGGGCAGCCAGTG